GATGAGTTATTTAATGTGTCGGTGTGGTAGGACGGAATGTTTATTCGAAAAATAAAGAAAAATGAGCGTACGACCTTTTTTTGAGATAATTAAAGTTTAAATTTAACAATTTGTTGTTGCGCTGATAGAACTTTTAGCATGAAATATTGATAGTTTTGCAGTTTATTAATTTGTATGGGGAATATAGGTAGGACTTAGGAATACTTGCTTGCAAATGGGTGTATATACTATTTGCTTATATGTTTTTGATATGGGACTTCATTTTTCTCTATCACCTCTCTCATGATGGTCATCTGTGAGATCAGATTTACATAGATTCTATATACTAAAGAAGTGAGTGGGATTTTTTTGGTGCTTGTTCAAGAGATATCCAATGTGCTATCACTTTTGAAATGGTTAGCTGCAAAGATAGGATTATTCTGCCATGTACTGACAGGCAGATATGTTTAGATAGAATACGCTCTGAGCATTAAGAGATAATGTCACTTTGGCAGATGTGTGGCATTTGCCTATGTATTGGGAGTTCATGTTGACACTCTTTCCATTTGGCGTGATTTTTTTTTTTTTTTATCATTGTCACTTTTTTTTTATTTTGTATTTTTTTATTTTAGACAATATTTTTTACTTCAAAAAAACTTTTCATATGATTTTTCAAAACACTTCAAATTTTAAGAGTATTTTTGTAAGTTGCCCATTTTGTAATTAGCCCACACACCACACCAATTGAACTTAAACCCATTCGGCCATTGCATAATTTCCATTGAATCCATTCCAAAGTCCAAAGACTCCAAACCCACTAACCCACCTAATCAGACATATTCATCTCCTGAATTTGAGCCTCATTTATCTTCACAATCTGATTTTGTTATATTTATAACATTTTTTTTGTTATATTTGAATTACATCAAATTTTTTAAATTTTTTGGCCTCCCAGGGCCAAATCCGAGCACCATAGCCCTTCGCAGCGTACATTCCTCACTCCAGCCCTGCTCATCACTATGTTTCAAATGTGAAAAAGACCTTGGCAAAGCAATTTTCTGAAGCAAATGTATCAACTAGTCAACAGACAAGCTTGATGGGTATTAGATATGGGGGTCCTCAAAACATTGGATGTACCGAGTGAGATATTAGAAATTATGATAGAGACCTGAGAGAAGGAATGAGAGAATTGATGCTAAGTCATTAATTGAATTATTCACATTAGAGAAGGAAAAAATTCAGATTTTTAATTTGATTATTATAGAAATAGTGAAGAAAGATTGGTTAGGTGTTTTTGGGCTGATTCTTGCTTGAGACAAGCATATAACTTTTTAGGTAACCTGGTTATTCTTGAAACTATATAAAACACATATGGACATGTGATTATTTTTGCCCCACTAACTGGTGTCGGCCATCGTGGCCAGACAATAATACTTGGATGTGGTTTCTTGACGAGACAGTAGAGTCATTTGTTTGGTTATTCAATAGTTGGTTGAATGCTATGCTTAAGGTTGCACTTCAAATGATCATTAGAGACCAAGATCTTGCAATGACAAGAGCAATTGCCAAAATTCTTCCAAATACTTTTCATCGCTATTGTATGTGGCATATTCTAAATAAGGTTTCTAAAAAACTTAATACAATAATTTATCGGGACAACTATCATTTCATAAAGAACATTATTTTACATTCAGAGACAAGTGAAGACTTTGAAACAAGTTAGATAAATATGTTAACAGTCTACTATATTTATAGATAATGCTTGGCTTCAACAAATATATGAGATGCATGCTAGATGGTCCCTGCATTTATTATGCATATTTTTGCAACACGAATTTCAAGCAGTCAAAGAGCAGAAAGTTCCCATTCATTTCTTAAAAGGTACATTTAAAAAAAAAATCTCATTGATGGATTTTATTATGAGCTTTAATAGAGCACTTGGACACCAAAAATATCAAGAGTTAATGGCTAACCATTGTAATATTAATGTAAAACCAGGATTGAAGTTCGTGTGGCCAATGGAGGCAAAAATGTCGAAGGTTTATACAAGAACAATTTTTTAAACTTTTCAAGATGAGATTTTTTTGAGTCAAGCATACGTCATATATACGTTATGTAAGGATGGATCAAGTGTGACTTATACTATTGAAAGTGTTGATGAAGCTTCTACGTCAAGATCTCGAAAACTTATTACAAGATCTCTAAAGCGTATTTATAATAAGTTTTTAGATACTATATATATTGTAGTGTCAACAATTTCAATGTGAAGGAATTCCATGTAGACATATGTTGGTGTATTTCAGGATCAAACAAATATTGCAATTGCCAAGTCAATAAATTCTTCAAAGGTGACCAAAAGTGTAAAGACTGGTCAAGATTGGGATAAGGATAATGAAGAACTAGATGACATTCCAAACCAACCATTGATGTTAAGGCATTCTATACTATCTCGTTTGTCTTCAGTTGTGGTTGATAATGCATCTCTTACTGAGAAGGAGCTAATCTCTTGATGAATGGGCTAGAGGATCTTCACAGTAAAATAAAGGAGCTTAACATTAGTAATGGCATTGAACACGTATTCATGGGACAAACAAGCATGGAATAGCACTTAAGCATCAATGAACCACCATAGGTAAGAGCAAAGGGGTGTGGAAAAAGACCGATAAACAAAAAAAGAGGTGTGGAAAAAGAATAAAAAAATCAAAAGAGAAAGCAGTAAATAAAGAGAGAGTTTGTCATGGATGTGGACTTCATGGCCAATCACACGGTAAACAAAATTGTCCAAAATTACTAGAAAGATATTTTTTCATTTTATATCATTTAGTAAGGTTTAACATTTTAATTATTAATGATATGATTATTGTTTTCCAGATCCTGTGGGTCCAAATGATGAAATTCCGCACGGTTTAGTTTTTACAACTTTAATGTAAGTTATTGGATCTGAATATTTGTGATAACGTACTAATAGTACATTGCTTCAAATCACACATCTTTTAATGCTTAGACTTATTTTCTAGTCGCTAATTATCACTATTAAAGGCCCCAAAAATTGGATGAATGAAGTGATCAATGGAAACAAGAATGTTGAAGAACGTGGACAATTTTAATGCACTTCTATTTTTACTTTCTCTAAGTGAAAGACCATTGCAACTTGCAACCTCTTCTATTGTATGTTATTTGCTGATTGAACGATTTGTTTCCTCCTCGTTAATAATAAGAAAATTGAATCTTTTTATATATCTAAATTTTTTATTTGGTGTAAAGTTACTTCTTTTTCAATCTTTTCCTTCTTTTTCGTCTATAATAAATAATGTGATTAATGACATTCTCATGACTATTATTTTTGACCAGATAGCATTATCATCAAAGTAGTGTACGTAATTTTGCTATTATAAATCAAGATGATGGTATTAAATAGATGGAGTACTCCATATGGCATATTCCACATGGCTTATTTAGCCCATGGTTTGGATTAAAATTCAATTAAAATATCAAGTGAAAGTGAAAAATTAATTTTAATCACACATTTTATGGGACTCAACTATTCAACCACACATTTCATCAACTTTTATCAAAATTAACTAAAAATCTGATTTTAATCTCTTCCAAACAAGGGCTTAATTAACCCAAAATAAGCTTTACCAAGCCACGTGACTTCGGCAGGGATTTGTCTTTGCTCACTTTGTTTAATTTGATTATTTATTTTTGGTTTTTTGTTGATTCTTCGTAATTAAGAGCCTGTTTGAGAGTGATTTTGAGAATTAATTTTTTGACCGTGAGGAGAAAAGTGGGGTCCATCTGTAAGAAAAAAAGTCAAATATGACGACTGAAATAGTAAAATAATAATAAAAAAATCACTCCCAAATAGACTGTAAGCTAATGACTTTACATGATCACCCTTATTCAAGCAGACAAAAACCCACCAACAATCCCCACAAAATGAGTAGATACTTCTACATGGATTGACACATGTTTCATGGGATTCGTACTTCTTTCACAAATAATATAGTGCTCTATCCTCTGCCTTGTATTAATTTCAATTTTCTATTTAATAGATAGGACGACCTATCAAAAAATAGTCTTGTAAATTATTAACGTTTTTTTTTTAAAAATTCGTGAAAATGAGTTATCAAAATTAATCGGTCTTGAATGCTATCATAATTAATTGATCATAATAGGGAGCCTAAATTCATCTCAAAACGATGAAATTAATTAATCTATTCGACAAAAGAGAGGAAGTATATAGCAGCCCTTAATTTCAAGAGAAGAATACGGTTGCGCTTAATTCGAATAACTTGATTTTGAGTTATTGTTATTTATGTAGTGATCATAAATTGACTTATCCAAGAATGGAGAAGAAGACGGTGGCCATTATTTTGATTAGAAACAAATAGACTGGAGATGGGAAGAAGCTAATAGTGTGAAAATGTAAACTACTTAAATGATTTTGTTTTTATTTGAGTATTGAAAGTAATTGATTAATATATAATTTTATTTAATGGATGGATAACATTTTTTTTAAAGAATGTGTAATTAAAAAACGAGATTTTTTTGAAATTATGCTCCCGTTTTGCCCCCCATTAAATTCCTTTTCGTTTTTTACTCTCTTATTTTTAATCATCCAAATTTTCATAAAATAATATTACATGTAAACTGAAAATTTTTCCTTCTTTATCAAGCACTCATTTAAAAAAAAAAAAACACCATTCTTCTTATTTTTATTTCAAAAAATATGGGCCACAAGGGAGTTATATGTAATATTATTTTGTTGGAGAATGTCTGGTTGATTAGAAAAGGAAAAAAGATGAATTATAATTTTAGGTCCCGTTTGGTACATATTAATGTAAAAATGAGATTAAAAATATAGTTGTTACGCTCATATAAGAGATATAAAGTCAAATATGATAATTTAAAGTGGTGGATAACGATTATATTTTTTGTTTTAATAGATAAATAATAGGAAACAATCTGGGCTTAGTTTCCAAATTTTCAAATCATGCGTCTATAAAAGGAAAAATTGCGTGAAGCTATCGCCCCCACCTAACTTCATCTGCGTTCTAGGGTTTCTTTCTTTCTCGGTCATTCATCGACAACAGAAGGCTTCTCTTTCTCTCTCATCCGTGCAAATTGTACATCTGTATACGTAACCCTTATCCCCCTCTAATGGATGATATTTCTCGAAGAAACCCTCAATTTTAAGTTAATTATTATTATTATAATATTTTTTTTTTTTGCCGGAAGTAGAGTAGAATTTGATACTGCACAAGTTATGTTTTGATAATTTAGAATTTATTTTGAAGAAAAGGAAGAAATGCAGGTCAGGGAGTTAGAGAAGCCTGAAACTTCTGACATGAAGAGGGCAGAAAAGTCAGAGGAAAGTGAGGACCCAAAATCTTTGGAGGAGAATTCAAGTAAAAAAGATTTGTGTTCTGAGTCGGTTATTGATGTTTCGGGAAAAGTTTTGGATTTTCCGCTGCTGGAGGGTGTGGAAAGCATGGTAGAAGGGTTGTATATGTACAAGAATGGCTTGTACTTGATTCCCAGGGCGGTGGGTAGGCTTAAGGGCTTGAAAACTCTAAAGTTCTTTGCGAATGATGTGAAGTTGTTCCCTGAGGAGTTCAAGAACTTGGTAGAGATGGAAAGCTTGCAAGTGAAAGTTGCAGTGCCAGGGGTCAATGGTTTGGAGTTGAGCAAATTGAGGAATTTGAAGGAGCTGGAGCTCAGTAGAGTTCCCCCAAGGCCCTCGGCTTTCCCAATTTTAAGGGAGATTGCTGGGCTTAAGTGCTTAACTAGGCTCTCTGTTTGCCATTTCTCCATAAGGTTGGTCCTCCTCTGTCTTTCCAAATAAAAGGGATTATTAGTATCGTTTTTTATTCGTGTATTGTAGTATATATTATGCATGTGACTATTCTGTTTCCTTTTGAATTTTAAAAAGAATTGAAAAATATTGAAGCTTATTAGACTTAGACGATGAGTTACTTAATGGGTTGATGTGGTAGGATGGAATGATTATTCAAAGAAGAAAGAAAAAGGAGTGTTCAGTTGACCTTTTTTTTGAGAGACTGTTTAGTGGGTTGGTGCCGGGGGTTGATGTGTTCAAAGTAAGAAAAATGAAGAATTTGAAAGGGCTGGAGCTCAGTAGAGTTCCTCAAAGGCCCTCGGCGTTCCCAACTTTGAGTGAGATTGCTGGGCTTAAGTTCTTGTCTAGGCTCTCTGTTTGCCACTTCTCCATCTTTCCAGATGATGGGGATTATTGGTATTGTTGTTATTCATGTATTGCAGTGTATATTATGGATGTGACTGTTCCGTTTCTACTTAATGGGTTGGTGTGGTGGGATGAAATGGTTATTCGAAGAAAGAAAATGAGTGGACTGTTAACCTTTTTTCATGAGATAACTTTTTAATGGGTTGGTGCCGGGGGTTAATGGGTTGGAGTTAATCAAAATGAGGAATTTAAAGGAGCTGGAGCTCAGTGGAGTTCCTCCAAGGCCCTCAGCTATGAGTGAGATTGTTGGGCTTAGGTGCTTGACTAGGCTCTCTCTTTGCCACTTCTTCTTAAGGTTGGTCCTTCTCAGTCTTTCCAAATAAAGGGGATTATTAGTATTGTTGTTATTCTTGTACTGTAGTACATATTATATATGTGAAGGTTCTTTTTGAATTTTATAAAGAATTGAGAAAATATTGGAGGTTATTAGACTTAGATGATGAGTTATTTAATGTGTCGGTGTGGTAGGACGGAATGTTTATTCGAAAAATAAAGAAAAATGAGCGTACGACCTTTTTTTGAGATAATTAAAGTTTAAATTTAACAATTTGTTGTTGCGCTGATAGAACTTTTAGCATGAAATATTGATAGTTTTGCAGTTTATTAATTTGTATGGGGAATATAGGTAGGACTTAGGAATACTTGCTTGCAAATGGGTGTATATACTATTTGCTTATATGTTTTTGATATGGGACTTCATTTTTCTCTATCACCTCTCTCATGATGGTCATCTGTGAGATCAGATTTACATAGATTCTATATACTAAAGAAGTGAGTGGGATTTTTTTGGTGCTTGTTCAAGAGATATCCAATGTGCTATCACTTTTGAAATGGTTAGCTGCAAAGATAGGATTATTCTGCCATGTACTGACAGGCAGATATGTTTAGATAGAATACGCTCTGAGCATTAAGAGATAATGTCACTTTGGCAGATGTGTGGCATTTGCCTATGTATTGGGAGTTCATGTTGACACTCTTTCCATTTGGCGTGACGTGATATAGACCTTATTCATGAGAAGATGTTTCACACCAGGTATAAATGTTGCACCTCCCTGTGAAGGTGGGATATTGAACGCACCAATTTTTCTGAAAACTTGAGGATGGCAGTTCTAAATTTTAGCTTCAACCGAGTTTAAATTCTGATGCTTTAACTGCCTTTGTATTTAATGGTTAGGTCAATATGCTCTCATTTAAATGCATTGGTGTGCTCAGTAGGTTTGTGTGCTTGTGTTACATTGCAAAATTATGGACTTCCATGAATCTGAATCTTTTTTGGATCAATATGATATATGATCTTTTCAGGGACATGGCGATCTCTTTTATCCTTTTTTGTTTTTAATCCTAAACCACTTCAGTTATGCCTTGAGTTCATCATATTGAAATTAAGTTCCTCATACTGCAATGTGAAATGTTAATTCTTAATGCATATATGTTAAATAATGCTGCATTGATGACTTAGCTTTGGAGAAAGTTATAATGGTCCGTCTGTTGAACTTTTTGTGCAGATACCTGCCTGCAGAAATCAGCTGTCTTAACAAGTTGGAGTTCTTGGATCTTTCATTTAATAAGATGAGGAATTTACCAGATGAGATAGCTTCTTTGAGTTCCTTGAGATCGTTGAAGGTAGCTAATAATAAGCTTGTTGAGCTGCCTCCTGAATTGTCATCTTTGCTGAGATTGGAGAACTTGGATCTGTCATACAATCGATTGACATCCTTGGGATTTCTCGAACTTGAAACAATGTACAACCTTCAGAGTCTAAATCTTCAGGTATATGCTCAATGAATTTAACAATGGACCTGCTAATTGATTAGCTTCATTTTACAGATCTGAATGAATATTGGTCATGCTTACTACTTTCTGGTTTTCTTTATTTCTTTAGATGATTTATACTGGCTTTTTTCACTTTTATGTATCTTAACCTAACATGTAGTTTGCTATATTTTCCTCCTTTTTTTCATACTCATTGAAGCACAATGATCTACGTAGTTGCTGTCAAATACCATCATGGATAAGCTGCAATTTGGAGGGAAACAACAATTACACATCAAATGATGAATCTGCAGAAATGGATGTATATCAGGGTGTAGTGCAGGAGAATGATAACAGTCCTAGCAATAGTGAGGCCCTCTTTCTCTTTGACCCCTCAGTTGAAGTTGTCTGATTGTGTCATGTATAGATACTAACACAGTGATAAGAATTTGACACATTATAGGTTCTTCAATCACACCAAGGAGTCATATAACTGGTCTATCTCCTAATAATAGATGCCTGGTGGCAAGAAGGAGTAAGGGACGGAAATGGCAGTGTAATCGGCAACCAAGAACTCGGCAAGAGAGACTGAATCAGTGCAAGAAATGGAAACTTGAAGCTGCAATTCAAAATTCTTCCGAGAAATGCATGGCTTGCAAAATGCCTGTCCTTGGTGACAACTCTCTGGCAGAAGGTTCATCTGCACTTGCAGATGCTGACGTTGACAATAAAGAATCGTTTTCTGGAGATGATTTTTATGAGAACTCACTTATTAATATTGAAAATGTAGATGCTAACACGAAGGACTCCGTTGTTACTTGTTCATGTTCTACACTTGACACTGTTGGGATTCTCAAAGAGGCTGAGGGCGACTGTTCTGAATCTGGTGCAACTTTGGAATCTTTTTGTGATACTGTTAAGGTGCTTGATGAAGGCTTATCTTCTGAAACATCTAACAGTATAATGAAGTCAAAAAGGCATTCAGAGAAGGACCTCGATAACCCAAAACCTACTAAATCCCGAAGACCAACTAATGAACCCTTATATTTGTCATGCCAATATAGCAAGATATCATTTTGTGGGGTTGATGACCATCTACCAGATGGCTTCTATGATGCGGGTCGAGATCGTCCCTTTATGCCACTGTCTAGTTATGAGCAAAATTTGCAGCTTCACTCTCGGGAAGTCATTCTTGTTGACCGGTAAATTTCTTTTTAAGGGCTTGTTTGAGCCACATTATTTTCAAAAAAATACATTTTTCAACAGTAATTTGACATCATTTCAACCACATATTTTTCAATAAAATAATATTACACGCAAATTTAAAACATGTTCTTATTTTTTAACCACACATTTTTCATTGATTTGATATGAATAATGTATTTTTTTCCTATAATGTGGCTCAAACATGGGCTAAATGTTGATTATTTCTGTTGTGGATGTTTATTGCGTTGAATAAACATGAGCTTGAAAAGTGACTTAGTGGACAACTCAGAAAGAGAGCTTTCAGTAGATTTATATTGCTCTATTAGTCACATAGGTTGTAATTGTGTAATTTTTCCATCAGGGAAAGGGATGAAGATTTAGATTCTGTGCTATTATGTGCCCGAGCGTTGGTGTATCATTTCAAGCAGATGAATGGTTCGATTGATGAACAGAGCCATGTTGCACTTGATAATTTACAGATTGCATCATTGCTTGCTCTTTTTGTCTCTGATCATCTTGGAGGAAGTGATAAAAGTGCGGCTCTGCAAAAGATACGAAAAGCTGTTTCTGGCTCAAACTATAAGAAACCATTTGTTTGTACTTGTCCTACTGGGACTCGTGACAATATTAATATAGACACAAAGCAGGGCGTAGACATTGTAGAAGATATTGTTTTCCTGGATCTATGTGAGAAGTCCCTTCAATCCATAAAAGCAAGGCTAAATTCTAGTATCGTTCCTATTGGGGGTCTGCAGTTTGGGGTTTGCAGGCATAGAGCTGTGCTGATGAAGGTAGCCTCTCTCTATTAGATTTGTTTCTAACTTTCTATCTTGTTGGAGGAACTAATTTATGTGAACTGGCATCCTTTTCACCTATTGTAGTATCTCTGTGATCGGATGGAGCCACGAATACAATGTGAGCTTGTTCGGGGTTACTTGGATTTTTCACCACATGCCTGGAATGTAATTGTCATAAAGAGGGGTGAGTCATGGGTACGCATGATAGTTGATGCATGCCATCCCCATGATATTAGAGAAGAGACTGATCCCGAATATTTTTGCAGGTTGTTATTCTCTTTTACTTTTCACTTTTGTTTGCTATATTAGCTTTAAGTTTAATTTGGTGCAAACATGGACTTGCATTGCATTTTACTGTTTTTGCTTAGCATCTAGGAAGCACCAGCATGGATCTGGTGCTGGTGAGTTGGCGTCGGACAACGATACATGTTGAATAGGCCCGGTGGCATGTCCAATGTTTTCCCTGATTTCTTACAGCTAGACATCTGAAAGTTGCGGGCACACCCTGAATACTTGCAGATAATTGCGAAAGGAAGAAGATAAACTAACCTAGCCCATAGCCATCTTCCTTTTCCGAGAGCTAAATCGCAAGCCAACTGCTTTGTGGGTGTCAACGGCATTGGGTTTTTCTCATTTTATCACTTCAAATGACGCTAATGGCTAAAGAAACCATAGTTGAAGAACTAAACAACTTTTCTTTTTAACCAATTAAAAAAAAAAAATCCCCTTTAGGGCTAAAACACCCTTTTATATTTTGAAAAGTAGGGCATTTAACCTACACTTTATCGATATTTTAGTTGCTTTACAATGTGTAATTAAAAAATCGTGCATAATATTTCAAAAAATAATTAATATTATTTTAAGCTGCTTTATGACATGACCATTTGGAGGTTCGGAAGGACATAGATTCACTCTTTGAATATGAATACTGGTATAAATCAAATTAATGTGTCATCCTGGTATTTTTCCAGTGCATCCGACATGCATGGCTGACACATGCTTCATAGGTTGTGTCATGGTTAGTCATTTACTTGTGGGCAGCAGATAGTACATTATATGACTGAGTGTCCTTTAATCTTTTTCCTAAATACTAATATTTTGATATTTCTTGTTTTCGGATATGTTACACGCTTCTCCTTTGGAAACTTGTTTATAGTTGGTTTTGTTTCTATAAACAATGGGGCTCAAACATGCACTGTGTATGAAGAGCACACTATTTGTCATTTTCCTAAATACTAATATTTTGATATTTCTTTTCTTTTTATTTTTTTTTAATTTTTTTTTGAATGTGTTACACGGATTAACTTTGGAAACTCGTTTATAATTGGTTGTTTCTATAACAAGGGGCCTAAAAAATGGGCTATGTATGAAGAGGACATTATATGAGAATGAGTGGTTGAAAATGAGTTTGGGCAAAAATGAGTTCTAAAGAATGGTGCTCAAATGTGGGCTATGTATGAAGCCCTTTGTTTTATGTTTAAGAGAACTTGTAACCTGTAGATATCTGTCTTGTTCTTCCGAAGCTCGATATTATTGTTATCAAGAGCACATTCATGGCATATTTATGCATGTTTGTGTTGACCATTGTCTCTTATGGGTATTCTTTTTCTTTTCAGGTATGTTCCTTTGAGTCGTATCAGCTCTCCCGTTGCAGCAGATGTTGCTACCAGTCCAAATTGTTCGTTTCCTTCTCTCTCTGTATGTGATGAAATTGGAAAATTAGCTTCTACCACTCTCATGCGGTGTAATTTTGGATCACTTGAGGCTGTTGCGAAGGTTTGTTCCTAATTATATTTTCAATCATTTTTTTACCTGCATCAATTTTTTGCAACATCAACTTCTGAATATGTCTAATTTCTTCAATCTGCAGGTGCGGACCGCTGAGGTACGTGAGACTTCTGCTGATGAAATCAGGAACTTTGAGTTTAGTTGTTTAGGTGAGATCAGAATGTTGGGTGTCTTGAAGCATTCCTGTATTGTAGAATTTTATGGTCATCAGATATCCTCCACTTGGTCGCTTTCGGCGGATGGAAATTTTGAAGGTCGTATTTTACAGTCTGCTATATTGATGGAGTACATAAAAGGGGGTTCATTGAAGGTGACATTTTTTGCATAAAATATCTTTGTGCCATGTTTGTTGTTTGGTTGCTTTGGGTCCTTCATGTGTCTAATCCGTAATTGTCTTTCCATACATAATCTGACAGAGTTATGTGGAGAAATTATCAAGAGATGGAGAGAATCATGTGGCTGTGGAGTTGTCATTATTTATTGCTAGAGATGTTGCTTTTGCATTGACAGAACTCCATTCTAAACACATCATTCATCGTGACATAAAAAGTGAAAATATATTAGTTGATCTTGACAAGAAGAGGCCTGATGGTACACCTGTTGTAAAGATATGCGATTTTGATAGGGCAATCCCCCTTCGTTCTTGCTTGCATACATGCTGCATTGCGCATGTCGGGATACCTCCACCTGATACTTGTGTTGGGACTCCTCGATGGATGGCCCCTGAGGTGTTTCGAGCAATGCATAGACGCAACATGTATGGGCTGGTGAGTTTCTTCTTTAGTTGGTGCTCACTGTTTGTTCATTGTTTTGGTCGATGATCTTCACAGGGTTCGATTGAGGATCTTGTACATGTTATTAATTCCAGCATTGTGGTCATTACTTCATTAATAATTTATGTTTCTATTTGTTCATTATGATGAGATCTGACTGCCCTTCTGTTGTTTTGGGTGTGGAGTTTTGTAACTTTGCTGAATCCCTGATTGCTGATAAATAAACAAGTTTTATTATTACCGTCATAGTTAGGGACCAATTATCTTTTACTCATCTTTTTGGTCTCCGTCTCTTAAGCTCTTTAGGATGCTCTTTAGGATGCTGTTCGCATCCTGCCTCCTTCACCCCAAACCCTCTCTACACACATGAGGACATGAACTCACTATTTTTACTTACTCTAGCAATGAATCACGTTATTGAAACATTCTGTTCCAAGTGTGAAGACAACTGTTGTGAATTAGGGTTTAGTCATTGTGTAAGTTTTTCAAATTACAAGTATCTTTATTTGGACTAAGAAAGTTCACACCTCTTTCCATGTTTGGTTGTAGGAAGTGGATATTTGGTCTTTCGGCTGCCTGCTTCTGGAATTGCTTACTCTGCAAGTCCCTTATTCAGGGTTATCAGAATCAGAAATTCACGACCTTTTGCAGGTACTGTGTTATTTCTTTTGTGTAGTTGATGAACATTTGCAGAAGACAAATAGATAAGACATGCAATGGAGACTTTCTAGATGCTTACGAGTTGATGTATTCTGTAACTTGTATAATAATAACATCAGTATATCACTTTTTCATGTTCTGAAGTTCTTTAGCACTAGCCCCACTATAAAAACTCACGTTCCAATTGGTTTTTTGATTCCTTTTCTTTCTGAACTCAGTGGTATTTAGCCCGTTTGGTTTGGATAAAAATTAAATTTTTAGTAGGTTTTGATAAAAGTTGGGGAAATGTGTGGTTGGAAAATTATAGAAGTTGTTGGTCCCATAAAATGTGTGGTTGAAAATGAGTTTGGGAAAAAATGAATTTTAAGAATTGTGGGTCAAACAGGGGCTTAATGTTTAGAAGTTATTCCGTTTATTCTTTCAGAGTACACTCGTGCACTCAAGGGATGATGTCCTATCTTAGTTCAAGGGACATTTGCTAATCTTTTGTTGTTGGGTGATTTCATCGAGTCACTCTACTTCAAAATCTGTTTGTTTTTCTAATGGAATCTCCAGCATGGTATCTTAGCTCAAGGGACATTTGCTAGTCTATTGTTATCGGGTAATTTCATCGAGTCACTCTACTTCAAAATCTGTTTGTTTTTCTAATGGAATCTCCAGCATGGAAGACCTTTGCATTGATGCCATGTTAGAATGCTGTCTTCCTCATTGGACATTCTATTCCATAAACTAACAAGTTTTTTTTTT